ATATATATTTATTTATTTTATTATTATTTTTTTTTTGCTAGAAATATCTGAATAGATTTCCTCAGTGCACCTATATGTGAAGCATTCTGAAAATTATTCAAACAGATGGCTGAAGAGCAAGCCAGGTAATATGTAAATTTCTTGTAAAGCTTATACAGTGGGTATAGAAAAGAATCACCCCCCATTAAAATAATCACATATTGTTGCTTTGCAGCCTGAAATGAAGACGGACACAGTTTTTGTTTTATCCAGCTGTATTTACTCAGTGCAACTTATAACATCCAAGTGAAAGATATAACACCAACAATAATAATAAAATACCTGAATCACTGAGTTGGAAAAAGAATCACCCCCTTGTGTCAGTATTTTGTTGAACTTCCTTTTGCTTTAATTACAGCCTTTAGTCTGTTGGGATATGTCTCCACTAAGTGCTCCAGTCCCTGCTGCAGAGAAACCCCCATAACAGGATATTACCATCTCCATTCTTTACTGTAGGAATGGTGTTATTTGGATGGTGAGCTGTTTTGGATTTCTGCCAGACGTTTGGTGATGAGTATCTCAAACGAATGCTTGATAAGTTACAGCTGAAAAGTCTATTGAAATGTCCATGCTCAGTAACTAGTAACTCATTCTGTGTAGCACAAATAAGTTGCATGTAGGGAAGATTGTTCAGTTTTAAACTGATATCATTGTCTATATCTTGGATCCAGGGGCGCTATAAACAGGTGGGAAAGTTAGGACAATTCCAAGGACCCAACAAGGGAGAGAGGGCCCGGAACGCGATTTTTACTGAGGGGGACGCCCCACCAGGGAACGTAATCGCAGAGGGTGCCTGAGTCAATATGCTGTTCAGGGGGCCCAGAAACCATAGCGGCGCCCCTGCTTGGATCTATGTAATTTCAGATCCAACCAATAAATTCCTGCTCCGATGAACCTACAGACAAATTACATTGAAAAGATTCAGATAAATATAGTTACATATAGACAGTTATATCAGTGCAGAGGTGAGATATAATTGCTAAAACTGTCACTGGCATGACTCACCAATCATTCTGCATGTAGGTAGAAACCATATTACACGGTTCGCCTGTAATTCATCACAAACTCTTTGACCACTTGCCACAGATTCTTTGACATTTTTTCTATAAAGTATGAATTCAAGAGGATCTAAGCTCAGCTTAGCTACTTAGCTGTAAAGTTTTAATGAATCACAGAAGATTAAACCACACAACTAATGAGGAAGACACACTTATGCAACCACACACTCATGGTTATCTCTCTGCCCCCTGGCTGTCTCTCCTCATCTCTCCTGACAGATAATAAAGAGCATTCAGTATACAGGCACCTGACAAGGTGTGCAGGTCTATTTAAAGCTAATGGGCCTGTTAAGTTCAGCTGAGCCTGCTTAGCCTTCAGGCATCAGTTACCGGAGAAGACATTTTTCAGGAGAGGAGAGCATGGAGGGGTTTGGTCCCAGTCATGCCTGAAATTCTATGGTCCATGTTCTTGATGAAGGTAGAGATCCCTCATCTCTCAACCCTCCTCAGACTTCAACTGTCACATAGTCACCACCAGCCGATTTTCTCACCCCAGGCCCACACTAACCTCCAAGTAAGAGCTTCTCCATTATACAGCTTCGCTACATGTCATAGACTAAGTAAATGTGGCAATGTCATGACCCAAAGAGACAGCTAGACAGGGACTCATTTGTCTTAAGGCAGTGTGTCTATTTCAGAAACACTTGGATGAACAATGATACACTTCAAAAACAGGTCACAGCAAAGAGATTAGCTTTTACAGTCCAAAGCTTTCTATAGTCTTTGATACAAGTGCTGTCAGATTCAGACACAACTTAGAAGACGGCTCTGTAGCTAAAAGAAACTTTTATATAATACAGGTGGAAAACACATTTTGGAGTGTAATTTGGGAAAATACAACAAAAAAAAAACAGTAAAAGCATAAGAACACTGTATTCATCCTCTATTCATTGTGGGGCAGGACCATTTTTGGTTTGCTACAGGACTAGCACAATTTTCAGCCAGTAAAGTGCATATATAATTGTTATTGCATGCCAGATATTTCACAGCTTGTTAAACTCTGCACTGTCTGCCTCCCAAATGGACAATGTAGCACAGTCTGTTCCTGAGGAGAGCCATTTCTAAACCTTCTCCCTCTATAAACATTTCTGTAATGCAATATATTGATTTTTTTCTTATCTATATTTTTTGGCACTTTTTATACATAACTATGTAAACAAAATCCTGAAAGGTATTCTGACTTTCTTGAACCCCATCCAAAAATACATAAGGTTTTCTGCTATATGTCAAAACACAGACGCAATGTTTATAGCCATATAAGAATTGAGTCCAATGCACACTTATGGATTTATTTGCATACACTGCGCTAATATGTCAGTTATAGAGTCAAAATTTTATCAAGATTTGATGTATTGCACTATATATTCAGAAAATATTACCCAAGACAGACTTTCGGTAATATAATAACATCGATACAAATCATACTTAGCGTTCCTCTGAACCAAATCAGATACATTTAGAATGTTTGTAGTATATATATAACAGGTCACAGATTGCCCTTGAACCATATGGCAAGCAAATGGAATAACAGAATGTTTAAAGAAAAGCTGAGCTCATTAGAAAAGGTTTCCTCTTAGTATGAAAGCAGTAAGTCGAGCCACAAGGTCAGCCCCTCACCCAAAATCAACATTTGCAGCAGAGGACATAAGATTTCTGGAGCCTTTTGGTTCTGAGACACTAATAGGACATTTTGCATTACATTTGTTTGTTTAGCAGGTGCTTTTATTCAAATGAGAATAAGCAAAAACAACTTATTTAAAGTGCAAAAGGCTAGTTAGTTAGTCAGGTGCGTTTTTGTGAAGATTTCAATGGAATTTTTCAGGTGAAGGTTAGGAGTTCATCCCACTACTGATTTTAATTATGAAATAGTATGAGTGGACTCTACAAAAGTGATGTTAAATACAAAAGACAGATGTCTGACAGGCAAATTTTTTGTCTTTCATTTATGGAATATTCTGCTTTCCATTGGTGAAATCCACACCACAGTTCCACATATACTTCAACCACTGCAGCAATTTCTGCTGAAAAGGTCATCTCTTAAATTTACTTGAAATGACGGGGGGAAATGTATAGTGCAACCACCATATAAACATCCATTTTTTCACCCCTATGCTTGCATAGAGTAGCATTTACTGTATGTAGTGGTACTCACACCGACTGAAAAACTGCATGGATTTATTTGTCCTCTATACAAATGTATGCCAACTCTCCCATTGACTATAGGTTTGTTTTCTGGGACTGTCCTGCTGTCCCAGATCTGCTCACTGAATTACTCTAGCCCCTCCTCTTTAGTCACAGCTGTCTGTGCTCTGCGTCTGCAGTCAGCCTACAGCTGCTGGGACGGAACATGAACAAGGGGAGGGGAATATATATCAGAATTGGCCGGGCCACAGAGAGGAGCAAAGCCACCATCAGGATTCAATTAAAAAAAAAAAACAGTAAAAGCATAAGAACACTGTATTCATCCTCTATTCATTGTGGGGCAGGACCATTTTTGGTTTGCTACAGGACTAGCACAATTTTCAGCCAGTAAAGTGCATATATAATTGTTATTGCATGCCAGATATTTCACAGCTTGTTAAACTCTGCACTGTCTGCCTCCCAAATGGACAATGTAGCACAGTCTGTTCCTGAGGAGAGCCATTTCTAAACCTTCTCCCTCTATAAACATTTCTGTAATGCAATATATTGATTTTTTTCTTATCTATATTTTTTGGCACTTTTTATACATAACTATGTAAACAAAATCCTGAAAGGTATTCTGACTTTCTTGAACCCCATCCAAAAATACATAAGGTTTTCTGCTATATGTCAAAACACAGACGCAATGTTTATAGCCATATAAGAATTGAGTCCAATGCACACTTATGGATTTATTTGCATACACTGCGCTAATATGTCAGTTATAGAGTCAAAATTTTATCAAGATTTGATGTATTGCATTATATATTCAGAAAATATTACCCAAGACAGACTTTCGGTAATATAATAACATCGATACAAATCATACTTAGCGTTCCTCTGAACCAAATCAGATACATTTAGAATGTTTGTAGTATATATATAACAGGTCACAGATTGCCCTTGAACCATATGGCAAGCAAATGGAATAACAGAATGTTTAAAGAAAAGCTGAGCTCATTAGAAAAGGTTTCCTCTTAGTATGAAAGCAGTAAGTCGAGCCACAAGGTCAGCCCCTCACCCAAAATCAACATTTGCAGCAGAGGACATAAGATTTCTGGAGCCTTTTGGTTCTGAGACACTAATAGGACATTTTGCATTACATTTGTTTGTTTAGCAGGTGCTTTTATTCAAATGAGAATAAGCAAAAACAACTTATTTAAAGTGCAAAAGGCTAGTTAGTTAGTCAGGTGCGTTTTTGTGAAGATTTCAATGGAATTTTTCAGGTGAAGGTTAGGAGTTCATCCCACTACTGATTTTAATTATGAAATAGTATGAGTGGACTCTACAAAAGTGATGTTAAATACAAAAGACAGATGTCTGACAGGCAAATTTTTTGTCTTTCATTTATGGAATATTCTGCTTTCCATTGGTGAAATCCACACCACAGTTCCACATATACTTCAACCACTGCAGCAATTTCTGCTGAAAAGGTAATCTCTTAAATTTACTTGAAATGACGGGGGGAAATGTATAGTGCAACCACCATATAAACATCCATTTTTTCACCCCTATGCTTGCATAGAGTAGCATTTACTGTATGTAGTGGTACTCACACCGACTGAAAAACTGCATGGATTTATTTGTCCTCTATACAAATGTATGCCAACTCTCCCATTGACTATAGGTTTGTTTTCTGGGACTGTCCTGCTGTCCCAGATCTGCTCACTGAATTACTCTAGCCCCTCCTCTTTAGTCACAGCTGTCTGTGCTCTGCGTCTGCAGTCAGCCTACAGCTGCTGGGACGGAACATGAACAAGGGGAGGGGAATATATATCAGAATTGGCCGGGCCACAGAGAGGAGCAAAGCCACCATCAGGATTCAATTAAACCCCAGAGGGGCCGGTGGGAAAGAGAGTGGAGAAAGACAGAGGAGTCAGCTGCTGAGACGGAAAGGAAGTAAAGAGCTCTTTCACTCAGGAAGAGGACTAAATGTCAAGAATCTGGTGCGCCACCCGTTCTTCATTGTTCACAATGAGAGATGGTCAAAGTCAGGCCACTGGGCTGCTGTTGCCCTCTGGCAACTGAACACAGTAGCCATTGTGCTTCCGTGTCAGGGGTCAGTGCTGAAAGCATGAAGGCCTCCACATCAGAGAGCTGGACCCCAGCCATGAAAGATGATCCCGTTGCTCTGCCTCAAAGCTGTATGAGTAAAAAGTTCTGCGATCCACACAGAATGATTCTAATGAACACGATCTTTCTTCTCATGGCCTTTTAATAAGCACAGATTTGTGGCTACACTCTTACCCTCCAAGTTCTATAATAGTGTAAAACAGAACTTCTCAGGTCAGATGTCAGGTGAAGGAGGATTTTAAATTCATGCCCCAGAGAAGCACAGTTAAGGCAGTTGTTATGGTTGTTCCACTCTATCAAGTGTAAATAATGAATGAAAAACAACCAAAGAAGATAAGCAGAACTTGTGCAGTGGAAAGGCAGGGCAGAGAGGAACCAAGAGAAACTGCTGCTTGTTTAAACTAGGTTTATAGTTGTCAGAATAAGTTATAATTAGTGTTTACTGCCTGTGTTGCCAAACTCTCCGAAGGCAGTGCTAACTTCACACTCAGAATGACAGCTTTACATGTGGCACTCACCCCATGCTCATACCCACAGCAGAAAAAAATTAAAATACACACATTTTATTAGACCCAATCAACATCTTGTAGAGGTGTCTGTACTACGTGATACAGACACCTCGTCTTAACGAAGGGACGTGATACAAGGTGTTTTTCTTGCACTCCACGTTGAATTTCATTAGAGTTTAATAAGTAAAACACGTTTACGTCTCTTCTCACCCTTTAGAAGTTGAAATTCAGCATAAATAAAATGAGACACACAGATAGATAGATAGATAGATACACTGTAAAAAACGACTGTGAGTTTAACGGTAAAAGACTGTAAAAATGCTACAGTAAAAACCTGTTAAATGGTTAATGGTAAATTCCCCTACTATATACGGAGAAAAACAGTATTGGACATTACATGTAATTTTACGGTAGTATACCGTTTTGTGAAGTGAAAGAGACTGTATAATTTTTCAGTGAATAACCGTAAATTGACATTCCCAGAATTCCCTGCGTTACATTTCAAATGTGATGTTTTTTTGTTGAAATAACTCTTTATTCTTAGTTTTTTCCTATCAGTTTTGTATATTAGGTTTGTGTGTTACACCTAATGTTGTTAAATGAATGTTTGATTGCATTATTTCAGTTTCATGTGTGTTACCATGATGGTGTTTGGTGGTTGTGTGAATGACACTGTGCACCTTCTATACATATTATTATTTAAAAGCTGCTTGTGATAGGCTTTGGTTCATCATGTGACTTTCTCATCACCACATGCATTTGGTGGTTAGTGTATTACAAAGGTACAAAACAGATTTCAGTACTTCAATAAGGTTGGTATATTAACATTATATCAGTTAATGAAATTACGGTATTTAACTGTAAATTAACCACAGCTGCCGGTTTTTTACCGTAAATTTTACGGAATTTTTTTTACAGTGTAGTTATGAGAGGTGTAATTTTTTTATGAGAATGAACAATTTGCTGGAAAAT